TGACTAATTTGAATTTCTAAGAACCTTCAGAGTCACCTGTTTGAAAAAGTCATAGAGAAGTGTATTGGGTGTGAAGATGTCAGGCTTACCCTGGACCTGTGAAGATTTTCTCAAGATCCTCCATGTTTAAATCTACTACAGGCTTAAGCCTGGATTTGTGGGTGCTTTTAGAAGACCTTTAGACTCATTTCTCAGCCAGTGGAGCTAAAATTTGCCAGATTCATTGGATTGGATTAAGAGAACATAAGAAGATAAAAACAACTATCTTACTTTACCTTTTGTTTTCTGGGCTTGAACTCAAGACCTAGATGCTATCCTCAACTTTTCTTTTTCATTTTCCTTTCCTTTTTTTCTTTTTCTTCTTCATTCCTTCTTTCCTTCCCTTCATCCATTCTTTTTCCCCCCCCCTCAATAATAGCATTTAATCACTTGAGCCACAGCTCCATTTTCCACTTTTTCAGTTAATTGGAGATAAGAATCTCACAGATTTCCCTGTCTGTCTGGCTTTAAACTATGGTTTTAGCCGCCTAAGTAGCTAGGATTACAGGCTGTGAGCCACCAGTGCCTGATTACCTTCTTGATCTTGAAGGAGGATGACTTAAAAGTTAAAACACACCTACACTAAAACTGGCCTTACCACCTAGCAAGCAAACACAGTAAAATACTTCTGAAGAATGAGGTGTGGTCCATAGGCATCCTGTGGTGATACACACAGACTTCAGGCACGTTCATCACTTTTACTTAATACAATTTGCCTAATGTCCTCATCATTTGATCAACACAATGCCAAAGGATAATTGGGTTCTAATCTGGGTTTTGGATGTGGATGTGGGTGCTGGGCAAGTCTTTTGGCCTCCGTTTGTTGGCAGGTGTGGAATTTCTCATCAAAGAACATTAGTGAAATGCAAATACTTAAGGGTTACATCGGGAGACATCTGTTCTTGGGCTTTGGGTCCCTGAGACCTCATTTGTAGGGTGCAAGCTGCTCAGCTGTCCCCCATAACTGGGGTCAAGGCAGTAAAGTACCTACTCTGCCTTAACACCAAGGCTTAGCTGTGTGGAAGCCACACCCAATTGGGGAAAGTAGCATTGTCCAGATGGTAATGGTTGTTCTCCCAGTATAGTTCTGTTACCAGCTCCAACCCAACAATTTAACATAATTCAGTGATGAATCTGGAGATGGTTACTGATGGCCTCCCTCACACCTGGCACTGTGCCACGGGGAGAAGGCAGCAGTAATACAGACATGCAGGATTCTTCTCTTCCATATTGACCATTCAGTGGATGAGGAAGATACACAGGGAATAAGGCAGTTATAACATGTTCAGTGATAGAGAATCACAGAGTGCTGGCAGACTACACAAGTGAGTTAGGTATGGCCAGAAGTGAGGGCATCAGAGGCAGTCTCTTTGAATACACTGTGTTGAAGATACAGCACTTTAAGAGGCAGGTGAAAGAAGGCTGCGAACTCAGGAAGTAGACAGGAGGAGGGTGTCAGGACACACAGCAAGCAGACAAGAAGGAGGGTACAAGGTCAGGACCCATAGGAAGTAGAAAGATGGTACGTAGTCAGGGACCACAGGAAATAGATAGGAGGAGGGTATAAGGCCAGGAAGAGAGTGTTAGAACATATAGGAAGTAGATAGAAGAAGGATAGAGGTCAGGACCTGCAGAAGTAGATAGGAGGAAGGTATAAGGTCAGGACCCACAATAAATAGACAGGTCTGTGAGTTTCTTGCCTTAAATCACCTATGCAGGCTCAATAGTACTGAAAGCACTTTCACAGAGTTCAGTTTGCAGGTGAATCTGTCACCTTGGCGACCTTGGAAAATTGGTCAGATCTTGGGGTTCTGGTTAGCTCTTGGCTTGATCTGAGGACCACATTTGAAGAGGCATCAACTTAGGATTCAAATATCCACCCAGAAGTGAGAGCCTCAAGCCTCTGACACAATCTGTTCTTAGTGCCTAGGCAATTACATCATATCCAAGTGAGTTTGTTTGTATACAAGGGAAATTAAGCCAAGGCAGCCATACAGTTTGTTGTGATGACTAATAACAGGCTCACATTTCCCCACTCAGAAGCTGGCATAACAATCTCCCTCCTGCACTAACCAACTTCAGGACTTTTGATACTCCCCTTGAATGGGCTGTACATTTTTGTCCCTTCTAAGGAGACACTTTAGGAGTCTAACTCAGAAAACATCCCCACAGTAAAGAACATGCAGGCAGAATGTACTGTGTATACTAACTATACACATACATATTTCTCGCCCTTTTAGACACAATGGCAGAATAAGGGTTTTCTTGGGAAGCCAAAAGAATAAAATATGAATTCAGAAGCTGACAGACATTTCAATAAAGGTCTATCCTCAGCCCTTGCACTGACTAGAAATGCTCATGAATTGCTAGATGAATCCAATGTGCTATGGTAAGACACATCTTACTAGACACATTTGATCAGTGTCATCTTTGATAAACAGACGAAGGGGAAATGTTCTTTCTTCATAGGTAGACGAACTGCTGTACCTTCCTTAATTTGGGCACCATCTCCCTCAGCTTTCCAGCCTGAGTTGTGTCCTCTTCAGAGAAACCCGTTGATGACCGAATGTTGGGATGGCAACTGTCTTTCTTCTCTGTTAGATTTGAATTCATTGATAGCTGAGTGCAGATTTCATGATCATGGTTCCTCCAGTGCCCACCAAAGTGCCTGGCTCTGTGCTGAGGTTTGACAAAAGATAGAGGTTGGGGGAAAGGAGGACAGAGAGGAGGGAGGGGAAAAAGGAGGGAAGGAAGAGAGAAGAGATAGAGAGAGGGAGGGAAAAGGAAGAAATGGGGCTGAGATAGGAAGGGAAGAAGGGAGGGAAGGAAAAGAAGATGGAAGGGATACAGGGAAGGGGAGAAGAAAGAAAGCAGGAGAAAAGAGATGGATGGAGAAGGAAAAAGGAAGGGATGAAGGGGGGAGAGGAGACGAACAGGAATAAGGGATGGAGGGAAGAAGGAAACATAAGTACCCCCCCCCATCTTGGTACAAACCACCAAGTGGGTTGTTCTTTCCTGAGTAGCAACTCTTACCTTTTGTCTCCTGGGCTGTTATCTGAACTGAAGATGGAGGATGCTTTGCGGTGAGCAGGTGTAGGCTGGCTTTTTTCAGGCCAGACATTCTTTCCTGTTCCCTGGTATGAGTGGACAGACCGTGCGATCCACCAACACACTGCAATCCAGCAAAGCCCCAAAGAGCTGACCTGAATCTCCAGATCTTCACCTTGATCCTTTTGCCTCTCCCCATAGTCCTTTTAATACATCCCCCTCAAGATGGAAGGGAACAGCTTCCCCCATCCCATCCCTCCAGTACTTTTCCTTGTGAGGACACAGTTCTTATAATAGGTGATTATTATTGAATGAAGAGACCTTTCTTTTGTTAGGCACTTTCCCCCAGAGGCTCTGAGAATTCTCAGATGAACTCATTTTTCTGATTCTAGTAAGACAAAAAATAGTGGTGAGGGCCTGCCGGTCCTGGGCTGGTGGCATCAAGGACCGCTCTGTTTTTGCCCCTTGCAATGAGAGCCTGGTGTGTGGCACTGGGACCTGCATTCCTGGTATGACACTGAGCTGAGCTGACTTTACAGATAGAACTAGAGCCAGTAGCATCAATCCAGGGTGTATGTGTATGTGTGTGTATGGGGAAGTTACCTGGGGACATCTTGACAATGAAGTCCAGGTGTAGCTGTACTTGCTAGGAAAGTAGAGAGGTATAAAACCCCGAAATCTAAAGCATGAACTGGCACTGCTGCTTGAATCTGGTCCCTTCCTGCCATCCCTATCTTTCCCAAAACTTTTACAGCCCAGGTGACCTAAGCAGAGTCACTACCCTCTCTTCCCATGTCCCCCGCCCCCTTGCCACCCCCGGCTCTGCCCCCAGAGACCGAGGACTTAAGAGTACACATTCTTTTTGAGTGCAGGGTGCAAAAACCAGTCACTAAGTCAGAGCAGCTTGTTTTCTTCACTTGGGGAAACGGAGTCAACTGACTGAACTGACTCAGCTTTCCTGGGCCAAGGCTGAGAGTGAGCTAAGGCCTGCCTCCCTCATTTTTGCACTGACAGTCTTCCCCAAGATGGCATGAGCAGGGCTAAAGAATGCCGTGAATCCCGGGGGCTGCGGTTCCATTCAGGCACAGAATCCCTTGCGGGCTGCCTTGGGAAGTGCACACCACTCTTCCTTGGCCAAACTTTCCCAACTCCCACTGCCCACAGAAGAAAGACAGGAGTCCAGGGACAGAAGCACATTGGCAAACTTGTTTCACTTTTTCCAGGAGAGTCTTTTCTTGATCAGGACATAGCCTTCCCGGGGCAAACATCCTTCTGCAAACAAAACCTATTGCCCACTCACAGTTTTTCTGCAAAATCCATCTTGGGTCATATTCAGCCAGTTCCATCTCAGTGACCAGGAGCCCGGCTATCATGTGCCACCTGCGTCCCCCCCCCCCCCAGGAAAGTGTGACAGAGCTCCTCCTGTGGGGTGTGCGTGCCCACCACAGGGCTTGGCACTGCTGGGACCTCAGGGAAGAACCCACCCTTGAGAAGGAGGGTGTGGGGGTGCAAGAGTTCAGTCACCCCATCCGGTTGACAGTTGCTTGTGCCCTACCATCCTTCTTGTGCAGGGCCAAAGAAAGACAGGAATGGGGAAGGGGGAGAAGGGAGGAGAGCAGGTTTGAGAAGGGACTGAGAGGGAGCCGAGGGTGGGGCTCTTCTGATGGAGTCACATGGATCCCCGCTTTCTTGTGGATTTTAGGAAATTCAAACAGCTAAGTATGAGTTTAAGTGTGTGTGTGTGTGTGTGTGTGTGTGTGTGTGTGTGTGCATGAGAGACAGAGAGACCCAGAGAGACAGACAGACCCAGAGAGACAGAGAGGGAAGAAGGGAGGGAGGGAGGGAGAGATTAGTTGTTAAGAATTGTAAGCTCTTTTGTTTTGGGGGTGGGAGGATCTAGTCTGTTGCAATCCTCAGGAAATGCCCTCAGTGGCAAAGTCCTCTAGGTCTTCAGTGGAGATGATGTTCAGGCTGGAGGCTTCTGTGCCCTCCTCTGGGCTTTGGGGAGGCTCCCGTGGGTGCAGGTCAGCAGCTTGTGGGGTAGGGTCACCCCGAGGCCCTAGGGCTGGCTGAAGTCCTCCACCATGGACACTCTGGGGCCTGGTGTGGGGGCCCTGCCTGAGGAAGGTAGGGGCAGAGAGCTGGGAGGAGCACCGCAGGGGTGTCAGGGCGGTCACCGGCACAGGCCGGAAGCCAGGGTACAGCAGGTAAGAGGGAGCCAGGCCGTCCTGCAGGGGTGGCTCAGGGGACACCCCCTCTGATGAGGGGACAGAGACTTTGACATACTTGCCCGTCTCTGGGTCATAGAAGGTCTTGATTTTCACCTGCAGGGACAAGTCGAAGACAAAGTATTCTCCAGACTGAGGATCTTGGAGGATCTTCTGGGTAGCAGGGTAGGGGGGCAGGGGTGTGAGGGACTGAGGACCCCAGGACCGCCTTCCCATAGGCTCTGGGCCTCCTGATACTGAGTGGCGGTGTATTGGAGGGGGCAGGGCCCTCACCACGGGAAATCTAGCCTGAGGCCTGTCTCCAGGCAAGGCCGGCCTATGCTCCGGCTCCTGCAAGTTCTCCCAGGCCTCTCCAGGCTTCTCCTGCACTCTGTCCATCTTCTTCCTCTTGCTCGCCAGCTTCTTGGCCCTCCTCAGGGCCTTCTCTGTCTTGGGTGGAACTGCTGGGGGTTTGCTGGCTGTCCTTCCCAGGTGAGCCGGATGTTCAGATTTCTCAGAAGGGCCTGCAGAACTGGCAGCCATTTCTAATAGTGTACCTTTTGGAGAGAGAGTCCGGACATCTTCTGCGGCTCCCTCCAGCTGGGGGTCAGAACTATCTGCCTCCCACGTGAGGCTATGGGTCAGGTCCTCTCTTCGGGTAAGCCTGGCAGGACCCTGGCTGGCCGAGGAGCTGGAGGCTAGAGGCTCTTCCGGCAGCAGACCCAGGTCGCTGGGGATCTGGAAAGTGTCATCCCAGAGGATGCTGGCAGCTGGAGAGCAGGTGCTGCTCTCCCCCAGGGAGCTGGGGTGGGGAGAAGCCACCATCTCAGAGGGGACCTGCCTTTTCCCAGCAGGCCCTGCTCTGGGTGGAGACAAAAACTGACTCTGCAAACCTTCCCAATGTGTGCTAAGTGGCTGGACTTCTAAATCTTCCTGGGGGAAAGCGATCGTGGGGACATGCCTGGGAGTGGGCAGGGTGCTCCCTTCTGTGGGCCTGCTTTTGCCATCACTGCTCAGGAGTGCATGTGTTACATCTAGGGGTGACATCCCGTGACCCCCTCCTCCTGTCAGGGGTTCAGGTGGGAAGTTCCCCTTGTGAGCTTGCTCAGAGGTCTCTATCTTGGTTCCAGTGTGCACCTGCCAGGGGTCCTCCAGGCTCTCACTCACTGTGTGCTTCAGGCAGGTGCCTTGTAGCATAGCAGAGGTTGGGGTGCTGGGCATCTCCTGGTTTGGGGGGGCACAGGGGCCACCAGCCTCCTCCCCCCACCCTGGTCTTTGCAGTTCCTCCTCGCGGTGGCCGCCGCTGGGAGACTCCTCGCAAGCTGTGGTCCTCAGGAGAGGCAGGATGATGGGTTTTATCACTGGGGTGGCCCTGAGTGTGTTGTCTTTAATGGGGAACAGCTTGTGCTTGTTTGGTGCAGAAGCTGGGGAGGGAGGGGTGTCTTTGGCATGGGGAAGGGCTGTGTCCTGTTTTCCTTGGATCCAAGAGCCTCTCAAATTCACTTCCTCCACTGCTGCCTTTCTGGGTCTCCCTGTAGACAACCCCGCCCCTTCTATTCCCAGCACCCCACCCTGGGTAGGCTTTTCCATGCCCCCTTCCCCATGACTTGGTGGCTCATCCTTTTCTAGCACATTCTTCTCATCTTTCTGACTGTCACCTGCCGTTGTGTCCTTCTTCCTGTCTTCCCACTGGCTCTCGGGAAACCATGCCTTCTGCTGATCTTCAAAGGAGGCAAATGATTGGTCTGAAGAGCTGGTGCTGAACTTGGCCTTGCTCTGGAGGCTCGGCATGAAATCAGACTGGCTGTCACTGTAGAAGACCTCCTCTTCCTCCGGAGAGAGGGGTCCGGGGGAGAACTTTTGGCTCAAGGGTGGGACCAGAAGGCCCACTTTTTGCTCAGGTTCTGTCTCTTGGGAGATGGATCTCGAGAGCCCATTTTTGACCTTTGTTTTCTCTGCAGCCTGTCCGGTCTCAGGCTCCCTGTCACAAAGCTTCAGTGACAGATGCTTTCTGGGGTGACGTTCCTTGGAGTCTGGGTGCCAACTGGCCTTGGCAGGACCCAGCTCTGCCTCTCCTTCCACTTCCTCCTTCTCAGGGTTCCTTTCTACAGCCTCCCCATTGACACAGAAAGGGGTGTGGGTGCCAGTTGGAGGGGAATTGAGGGTACGATGGATTTCTGCAGAGGAGTCACTGGGATCCCCCTGGGTACCGCTGTGAGGTGTGCTGGGGGCGTCAGCTGGGCTCTCCTTTGAAAGCTCATTTGGAGGACTTTCCTCAAGTCCATTGGGCAGCATCACCCCATTGCTGATGGCTTCTTGCTTGCTATCTGTCTTACTCCGGTGCTTTTCGTCAAAGCCTTTCAAGAGAGGGGAGGGACTGTAGGTACTCTTGACCCGCTTCCGCACATCCTTGAGGTTGAACAGGAGGCTGGGCGCTTTGGATTTGTAACTGTCCCGAGGCAGGTGTTGGCTGGCCTCCCTCTCCTGGTATCCATTTAGCTGTGCTGGCGGGGAGGGGCTGGTGTGCCCAGGCTGGGGCCCTGAGGACTCTAGGGTGTGCTTGGTGGGTATGATGGGGGTCAGTAGCTTACTGATATTAAAAGGAGGACTGTAGTGCTCATGGGGATCCCCAGACATGTCCAGAGCTTCATTGTCTGGAAACTGCCCAGGCGGGTTGTGCTTTGAGTATGGAGGCAGATCTCTCCAGTGACTCTGTTTCTTTTCTTCTGGGGTATCTTGGCAAGGGTCTTTCCCTCCTTTGCTAGGTTTTGGCTTCCTCCACGGGGGCTGGCTTGACTTCATCTGAGGCTCTGACTGTGAGCCAGACGCTTTTCCCTCAGGAGGGAACACTGGGGCTCCTGGATCTCTGGGCCCCCAGGATCCTGAGGTACACAGAGATCCTGGTGCTGCTCTGGTCTCTTCCTGGCTGCAGCTGGGTCGGACCTGGCAGGGAGAGACTTTGCAATCGGGGGCATGGGGCTCTTTCAATAAAAGTTTGTCCTCGTAATGTCTGGGAGCCTTGCTTTCTGGGATGGTTTCAGCCACCTCCTTCCTTTCCTGCAGCTTTGGTTGGTGGGCATTCCATGACTCAAAAGCGCTGTTTTCACTATGCAGAAAAGTCCCTCTGGGAGTCCACTCTTTGCTTCTTTCGGGCTCAGACTTGATTGACTTGTTGGGTGGAGAGGGGAACTGGGACTCTAACGAGCTGGTGGCACTGTCCTCTGTGGGGAGGAAGCTGCCAGAGCCAGGGGAGACCATGTCAGAGTTCTTGGGGGACTGTTGCTCACCGAGATTCCTGCCGGGCTGGTGGCCGCTCTGGTGGGGATTGGAGACTTCAGCGGGAACTCTTCTGACAGTCAAAAAGGCAGAATCGAAACAGAAATTGACACCGCTTTCTGGGAGAGGGGCGAATTTGGGGGGATTTTTGAGAGCCGGAGGCTTGCTAGGCGGGGGCCTACTGTCACAATGTTGGCTCTCAGGTCTGTCAAAGGATTTGATCAAAGATGAGACTTTGGAAATGGGCTTAGTGCTGCTCCTCAGACCAGAAACGGGGACCTCCAGTCGCCTCTGGGCTGGCGTTGGTGGGGGGCTGGTTTTGGGGTACCTTTCCTCCCCCTGAGCATATTTGGGCAGCTGCTGGAAGGCGGCAGCCCAGCCAGCATGCTCTGTGCCTTGGGAGGGAAGCTGAGTCCAAATGCCACTCTTCCTGTGGGCATGGCCCACAGTTTCTTGGTGGAAAGAGCCGAACCCCTGGCGGTTGCTATCTGGAGAAAGGGTGAGTTCAGAGTCGTGGAAGGAGGTGTCTTCGGAGATGCACAAGCTGCGGAAAGCCCGGTCTGTGAGGTTACTCACCTCCCTGTCCGCATCATCCAGCACGCTGCCAATGCTGGAGGTGTCACTGAATCCATCTGTGCCCTTCTTGCTCCCCTGCATGGTCTGTGGACGTTGGCTGGACGGTCCCTGTCAGCGGGCAGTGCCTTGGGTGCGATTCTGTCAGAATTAGGGACAACTTTCTTCCCACAGACTTGAGCTTCTTGTTGACCAGTTGCAATTGCAAAGTGGGAATTTATTTATTTGTTTGTTTTTTCCCCCTCTGGAAAAGAAATGCATAGTGTAAACAGTACATTCAAGGTAATAGATCAGTATGCTGGCCTGGATAGGTAAAGGTGCCTGGGATGGCTAGTTCGATGCTGCTGAGGCTCGCTTACAGCAAGCATGGTTTGGGGTTAGGCACGCAGACTAGATGTTCCTAGGACCGGGTTCTTCAGGTACAATGAACATGCAAATCAGCGGAAAGGACAAAGCAGATTACCCCATGTAAAGCAGGTGAGTTAAACTCCTTAAGAGAAAAACAATGGAGAAGAGGATGGTAACAAAAGCAAAGAAAGAAGAGGCAAATGTGATCACCTAAAAAGGAAAAGTGTCTGTACAGCAAAGGAAAACAACTAAATGAAAAGATACCCCACGGAAGCTGGGTGCCTTGGCTCATGTCTATAATCCTAGCTACTCAGGATGCTGAGATCTGAGGATTGAGATTTGAAACCTACCGTAGCAGGAAGTCCATGAGACACTTGCCTCCAATTAGCCACTAAAAAAGCCAGAAATGGAGCTGTGTCTCAAGTGGCAACATTAACTTTGAGCTATAAGGCTCAGAAACAGCACCAGGCCATGACTTCAAGCCCCAGGACTGTCAAAAAAAAAAAAGATACCCAATAGAATGGGGTGAAATGTTTGCAAACCATATATCTGATAAAGGATTGTTTTCCAAACTCTATAAGGCACTCCTACAAAGTGATTGCAAAATAACCTACAATTAAACAAAAGCAAATAATCCAATTAAAAATTGGCAAAGGAACTGAATAGGTGTTTTTTCAAAGGAGAGGTACAAATAGCCAATGGGTATAATAACAGGTGTCTAGAATGAGTAACCAGCAGGAAAATGTAGCTTAAAACCACAGTGAGTCAGACACAGTGGCTCAGGCTCATAATCTCAGCTATTCAGCAGACAGATCAGAAAAACTGAAGTTCAAGGCTAATCCAGGACAAAAGTAATTGAGACCTCATTTCAACAAACAAGCAGGGTGTTGTGGTTCATGCTTGTACTACCTAACTCAGCTACTACTACACTTCAGCGACTCAGGAGGTGAAGATAGCAGGATCTTGGCCAAGGCCAACCTTGGACAAAAACCTAAGACTCTATTTGAAATGTAACTAAATGTGACTCAAGTGGTAGAGAGTGTTCCCAGCCTGGTGTTCAAACCCCAGTACTGCCCACCTCCCCAGCCCTCAAAACTCATACGTATATATGAAGATCATGTGTTGTTAAGGATTCCTACTCTTGGGGGGAATGCAACTTGTATAGCCATTATGGAAAACCTTGTGAAGTTTCCTTCAAAAGTTAAAAAAGCTACCTTATGATTCAGTAATCCAATATCTACTTGTAAGCATAAAGAAGATGAAATTAAGATCTTAGAGATCCTGATTTATTTATTTATTTATTTGGGTCCATCGTGGGGCTGAACTCTGGGCCTGGGCGCTGTCCCTCAGCTCTTCAGCTCAAGGCTAGAACTCTATCACTTGAGCCACAGCACAACTTCTGGCTTTTCTGCTTATGTGGTGCTGAGGAATTGAACCCAGGGCCTCATGCATGCAAGGCAAGTGCTCTACCACTGAGCCACCTTCCCAGCTCTGAGATCCTGATTTTTATCAGCTAAAACTGATCATAGTGGAACCTCATGCATACAGAAGCAACTTAAATGTCCATGGATAGATGAATAGATAAAAGATGTGGTACATGCACACAGTAGAATATAATTTAGTCTTAAAAATAGTTATACATCTGACAAAGGATTAATAACCAGAAAATACAATGAGTCCAAAACCCCCTAAATGCCCAAAGAACCAACTGCTTAATTAATAAATGGGCAAATGAGCTGAACAAAGAATTCTCAGAAGAAGTGAAGTACACCTCAAATGCACAAAGACACAATCAGCATTGCTGGCCATGCAGAAATTGTAAATAGAAATGACAATCAGAATGACCATCATCAAAAACATAAATAGCAAATGCTTCCAGGCATGCTATGGAAAAAACTAACCCTCATACACTGTTAGTGAGAATATGAATTAGGGCAATTGTTATGGAAATCAAAAAGCTAGAACCCCCAGACATCGAATGATATTCATTCAAAGGAATGTTCATCAGGGTACAGTAGAGACACTGACACACCCATGTTCACTGCAGCACTATTCATCATAGCCAAGCAATCGAAACATCCCAGATGCCCAACTACTGAGGAATGGATTAAGAAAACTAGTCTATATCCAATGGAATTTAATCAGTCACAAGGAAGAATAAAATTATGTTATTTATAGGGAAATAGATGGAACTGGAGATCCTCAGGATGCATGAAGAGAGCTAGATTAAGAAGGACAAAAGTCACATGTTTTCTTTCCTGTGGTAGAATCTATCTATCTATCTATCTATCTATCTATCTATCTATCTATCTATCTATCTATCTATCTATCTATCTATCTATCTATCTATCTATCTCATCTATCAATCATCCATCTGTGTCTGTCTGTATGTTATGTATGTATATATCAATGTATCTATGCATCTGTCTAACATGATTGTAACTGTGGAAATGTTTGGGGAGATGAGAAGGAGAGAGGAAGAGGCATGATGGAAGGCACACAATATTGAAATGCATTATATTTGTGTATGAAGATGGCATAAGAAATCTCTGGAGGGGCTGGGAAAGTGGCTCAGTAGTAGAGTGCTTGCCTAGCATGCATGAAGCCCTGGGTTCCATTCCTCAGCACCACATACACAGAAAAAGCTGGAAGTGGTGCTATGGCTTAAGTGGTAGAGTGCTAGCCTTGAGCAAAAGAAGCTCAGGGACAATGCCCAGGCCCTGAGTTCAAGCCCGAGGATTGGCAAAAAGAAAAAAAAAAGAAATCTCTGGAAGCTGTTAAATAATAGCTGGTAGAGAGGATGGGGAAAGAGCAACAGAGGGAGTTGTCTGATAAAATATAATATATACACATGTGAAATACCACTGTAAAAACTCTTTATACAATCAAATCCATTCAAAACTGGATGTTAGGAGAGAAAAGCAGGCCCAGCTGGGAGGTGGGTAGCAGTGCATGTCCGGGGGTAGAGAGGGTAAAGGAGGGCAGACATGCTCCATATAGTTTATATACATGTACGGAAAAAGAACAACGAAACCTGCCAAAATTGTTTCACAAAGCCGGGTGAAGGGCTGAGGTAGTGGGAGGGAGGGGTGAGTTTGATTGGGGGGCATTGTATGCATATATGGTCATGTCACAATGAAACCCTTTGGTACAACTAACATACCTAAATAAAAGTGTTAGGAAGGAAGGGGAGTCAGCCATTTGTGACACTGCAGATAAACCCAGATGACATCACACTAAGTATAATAAGCCTGATACAGAAGGACAAAAACCTCAGGAGCCTACTTATATAAAAGAGCCAAACTACTTCAAAAGAGTCCAAACTACTCCAGAGACTAAAAGGGTCATTGCCAGGGGCTGGGTGATGGGGGCTTGATGGTCATAGGGGATAAAACTTTTGATTTTACATGATAGATAAACTTTAGAGCTCTTCTGTGGAGTATGCTGCCTATTCTTAATGATGCTGCATTGCTGAGTGGGCAGAATTTTGCTAAAGAGGATAGATCGTAGTTAAAGTGTCTCCCCTCTCTCCTTCTCTGTCTCTCTCCTCTATGAATCATCCTGTTCTGTTCTGTTCTGAAGAATTCTAATAAAGGGCCTAACATTCAAATAAAGTTTTACAATCCTCCTCTCATATTCCATGGATGTCCCCTTCCTCGTCTATGTTCACTGCTTCATTGCCTGTCTCTCCATTATAATGTGATTACCAGCAGCCCCATGGCCCTTCCAGTATGGTGGTGGTGTCTGCTGGTGTCTGGGACACCAAGATCACTCATCAGTATTGGTGCATGATATCAGAAAAACGTGGTGCATGTATGACACAAATAGGAGAATTGCAGAACTAAGTCTAGAATCTGAGAGTAAACAGACTCTGGCTAAGTGAATTGTTACATTAGCCGGGATTTGCTATGTATTCTGGAACACTGAGTTTTCACCCTTCTGAGTAAGAAGACTTGATATCTTTGAGAAAGTCTTTCTTCCAATCATCATGCTCAGAAGTAAGGGGTGCTGAAAGCCAGGAAGCCTACTGTACTCTCTGAGCCAGGGTGAAAGACAGGACAGAGGTGCGTGTGTGTGTGTGTGTGTGTGTGTGTGTGTGTGTGTGTGTGTGTGTGTGTGTGTGTGTGTGTGTGTGTGTGTGTGTGCCGATCCTGGGCTTGAACTCAGAGCCTGGGCCTCAAAGCTGAGCTTTTTTGCTCAAGGCTAGCACTCTACTACTTGAGCCACAGCTCCACTTTTGGCTTTTTGTGGTTCATTGGAGATGAGTCTTGCAGACTTTCCTGTCTGGGCTGTCTTTGAAACACGATCCTCAGTTCTCAGCCTCCTGAGTAGCTAGGATTATAGGTGTCAGCTATCACACTCAGCAGAGATGCTGATTTTATGTTTATGCTAGAGCCCCATGTCCTCTGGGTTTTTATCAGTGGGAGAACTTTCTGCATCCTTGGGGACTGTTGGCTTTCTGATCTTTCCGTTCTTTGAACTTCAACCTCTATCTCTAATTTTCCATTCCACAATTACTTGTTTTTGTAGATGTGTCCAGATTTTGTTGCTTGTGACCAAAGAATTCTAATGGATCCCAAGTTTACCTTGTGATTTCAACTACAACTGAAATAAGCCCTCAGGAGGTTGAGATCTGAGGATTAAAGTTCAAGCCAGCTGTGAGGCCCTTATTTACAACAAACTCCCAAAAAGCTGGCAGTGAAGCTGTGGATCAAGTGGTAAAGCACTGACCTTGA